AAACGGCCCTTTCTTTCGTAGGACTTTGAAGAAAGGAAGGCACTTATCTGTCGATCTTGAAACAAAGCGGTTCAGGGCCGCAATCCTGCCATTGAGGCACTGAAGCTGCTTCAGCGTCTTAGGTGCCTCCATCTCGAGCACGGCTTTAATCTTTTCGGGGTTGGCCTCGATCCCCGGTTGTTCACCATGAAGCCAAAGAATTTTCCCGAAGAGACTCCAAAGACACATTTAGCTGGGTTGAGCTTCATTTGATATGTCCTCAGAACCTCGAAGGCTTCGGTCAGATCGGAGAGATGCGACTTAGACTGCTTGCTCTTGACRAGCATGTCGTCCACATACACTTCCATATTCCGGCCGATCTGCTTKGCGAACATTTTGTTCACCATTCTCTGGTAGGTCGCTCCTGCGTTCTTTAAACCGAAGGGCATGACCTTGTAACAGTACATACCTTGGTCTGTTATGAATGCGGTATGATCTTGATCCGGGACATGCATCTTGATTTGGTTGTACCCAGAATAGGCGTCCATGAAGGTGAGCAGTTCGTGCCCGGCTGTGGCGTCCACGAGCTGATCAATCCTTGGCAGTGGAAAGCAATCTTTCGGGCATGCCTTATTTAAGTTCGTAAAGTCTACGCACATTTTCCACTTTCCGTTAGATTTTTCAACTAATAAAACATTGGAGAGCCACTCGGGATACGAAATTTCCCTTATGTATTTAGCTTTCAACAGTTTGCTAACTTCCTCAACAATCACATCACTCCTCTCCTTGTTTATAGGTCTTCTTTTTTGTTTTACAGGTCGGAATGATGAATCTATGCTGAGGCGATGCGTCATAATCTTTGGGTCAATGCCAGACATGTCCTCATGGGACAACGTAAAGACGTCCGAGTTGGACAAGCTCCAATTGATGCACACCTCGCGCCTGGCTGCACGAGCTAACTCCTTTCTTTTATGTCCGGACTGACCCCCGCTTGGCCCTCCGAAAATGGTATTGATGACCGCAGGTCGGTCAGTGCGCCGGGGCGGCGTCCTCGAACGCTTCCGCTTTTCCTTTTTCTCTGCCGAGCTGGTCCTGGGCTTTCCCACAAA